AAAAAAAAAAAATGGAGAGCGAAACCAAAACCGAGCTCGTTTTCATTCCTTACCCAGGCAGGGGACACCTTATGTCAACCCTCGAGCTGGTGAAGCTTCTAATTGGCCGAGACGAACGCCTCTCGGCCACCGTCCTTGTTATCAAGCCACCTTTCGACCCGAAAACCGGATCCCAAACCCTCGAATCCAGTCCGCGGATCCGCTTCGTCGACATCCCGCGGGCCGAGCCCCTATCGGGTCCTTATCACCCTTCCAAATTCATCGAGAACCACAAGGATCATGTCCAAAACGAGGCCGCCAAACTGTTCGGGGGCTCGGGCCCCAACACCCGGCTTGCGGGCTTCATCGTCGACATTTTCTGCACGAGCATGGCCGACGTAGCCCGCGGGCTCGGTGCTCCGACCTACGTGTTCTACACGTCCGGGGCCGCGTTCCTCGGGCTCATCATGCATTTCCAGGGCCTCGTTGACTACGAGAATCAAGACCTACCCGAGTACGTGAACTCCAGAGACGAGATCCCGATCCCGTCTTACGAGCTCCCCGTCCCGACCGAGCTGCTGCCGCTCTTAGTTCTCGGGAAAGATGGCGGCCCCTTCGTGGACATTGTCCGGCAGGCGAGGCAGGCTAGGGGCATAATCGTCAACACATTCCGGGCGCTCGAGCCAAAGGCGTTGGACTACCTCTCCGGCGATGAGCGGGTCCCGCGGGTCTACCCGGTCGGCCCATTGCTCCACATCGAGGGCCGGGAGGACCCAAAGCACGACGAGGTCAAGGAGTGGCTCAATCGGCAGCCGGACTCGTCGGTGGTGTTCCTCTGTTTCGGGAGCATGGGAAGCTTCGACGGGGCGCAGGCGCGGGAGATCGCGCGGGCCCTGGAGAACGGCGGGTGGCGTTTTTTGTGGTCGCTAAGAAAGCCGCCTTCGGTCGTCGTAGGGCCCAGCCCGGGTACGCCTACCGAGTACGAGGATTTCGAGGAGGTCCTTCCGGAAGGTTTCGTCGGGCGGACGGAAGGGTTCGGGAGGGTGATCGGGTGGGCCCCGCAGGCGGATGTGCTGGCCCACCGGGCGGTGGGAGGTTTCGTGTCGCACTGCGGGTGGAACTCGACGCTCGAGAGCGTGTGGGGAGGCGTTCCGATGGCGGCGTGGCCGATGTATGCCGAGCAGCCGCTGAACGGGTTCCAGCTGGCGAGGGATTTGGGGGTGGCCGTGGAGGTGAATTTGGGGTACCGGAAGGGGGATAACATGGTGGTGGGGGCGGAGGAGTTAGGGAGGGCGATTGGGCGGCTGATGGAGGCTGGTGGCGGCGAAGGAATTAGGGATAAGATGGAGAAGTTGGGAGTCGAGGGCCGGGCGGCCGTGGCGGAGGGCGGGTCGTCGTTCGAGGCGGTCGGGAAGTTTATTGAGGATGTCATGGATGATGGACAATTCGCATTTTGTCAATTTGCTTTCCAAAAAGTGAATTGACAAAATAAAAAACTTTTGACAGTAGACTTCCAATTGATATTTACACTTTTAATTCCAGAATAATTTTGAAATAATAAATTTTGGTAGATCACATGCTCACAGCTATACACATTTAGTTCAAGGAAAATGCTACGGTGCGTTACGGAATTATTTTGTCGAAATTTGTGATCGTTAGATCAACTATCTCTGACAAGTACATAATAATTTAACGGTCACAAATTTCGATATTTATAACGAAACTTTAACATTTCCCTTAGTTCACATAGGTGTGAAATAAAATATTCCTACCGACAAGTGGGATATAGACAAGACAATTTACCACCACATGACAAATGTATCAAAAAATATCAGACATTGACTATAACAAAACGTATCCTTTGTCCATCACATTCATGCATAATCTTTCCGCCTGAAGGGAGCTGGTTATCGAGTACTGTCTCGAGTAGATATGAGTGCACCCTCAGAAATTCATATTTTACATAGCAAAACCCCTATAGGTCCATTATGCATAATCTTTTGAAATTACAAAATAAACCCTCAGAAATTCACACTTTACATAACAAAACCCCTCCCTTGAGTCAGCTGCAATCTAAACAAGAATGTCAAGCCATACTCCTCACATCAATTCTTGCAACCAACCCCATAATAATATCATTTGAAAAAAAAAAAGTTGAAAAAAAAAAAGATATACATATATATTTATTAACCATATTATAAGATGGCCATGCATGCTCAAATATAGGTGATCACCAAAATTAAGCCCACTTAGCCAAAAGAGACATGCAGCCAGCCCCAAAGAGTAGTGAGGCATTAGCCAACATTTGCAGTTTCCCATTGTTTTGCAATTTAGGGTTCATAAAATCAGCAGCAAGAAGATCCACAAGGGCCATGTAGATGAGAATCCCTGCCGAAGCCGAGTTGAAAACCCCCTCGACTATGAGTGCCTTCGGGTTTTCCTCGTTGTACATGTTGCTTACGCCGATGCCTATGGCGATACCAGCAGGCGTCGTTATCGAGAAGAAAAGCGCCATCGTTATCACCGAACGCACGTTGAATTTCGCCTGCGGCAAAAAGACGATACGCGGTGAATTCGTTTGTAAATTAAGTTGTTATTTTAGATAGAAATTCGTCGATTCGTGTTATTAGCTATATAGTCTTTGGTGTGCATATAATACTCGAGCATGAACATTGCTAATTAGATGTGTAGACAAGTTGAGTCGAGCTGAATTTGAGCTCCTGATATATACTCGAGCTTGGACTTGAGCCCAGCTTTAACGAGCCGATAAACAAATTAACTCGAGCTCCGCTTGTTAGCGAGCACAACGTGAGTCTTGATCGACTAGCTGATCTATAGAAATTGCATATAAAAAAAAAAAAAAATCATATTTTTAACGATCTAAATAGTGTTTCGTTAACTTAACGAGGTCGAGCTTGGCTCGTTACTTCACGTCAAAGGCTTTTGTCTATGTTGTGTGAGGCCCGCCTCATAACTCAATTGACTTTTTCAAATTGTGTAGTCAGTTTTTGCCGGAAATTAGACTTTCAGTACACATCATGCCAGATTGTTTGTCACATTATATTTCTAGCTAAAATTTTATTTAGTTTTTCGTCAAAACTAATTAATTTTTTGTAAATTACAGGACTACAATTAGTTTGTTACGGGATACTATTAACTATTTGAATTTGAATAAAATTAATATCGATACACCTAACATTATGGGACACTTATAAAAAATATTTTAACCTTATATTTTAGTCCAACTTGTTGTGTCCCCATTTGATGTGTACACCCAATGTCTTTTTCAAAAACAAATATTCTCAAGAATAAAATTACTAGTAAACATTATAACACCAGAACTAAGCAAAAGCCTTAATTAATTAATTAATTAATCAGATAACATTATTTAAAAACATCATTATAAAGAGAATAAATTTAAATTATAATTATTGTGATTGTACTAAGTTTTGTGTACCTGAGCTATGCAACCTCCAAGCCCTATGCCTTCAAAGAACTGGTGAAAGGTCAAAGCAGCAATTAGAGGCCTTATTGTTCTAGGATTTTCAGAAGCACCCAAAGCAACACCAATTATCACAGAGTGGACTATTATTCCTAACTCCAACACCTGTCATTAAGAAAATTAAAATAAAATAAAATAAAAAAGATCATTAAAACTAAATAAATAAGTAATTAAATATATATTATCATGACAGTCAATTAACTCATTAACAACTGCACTGTATAAATGCATATAACAACATGTTATTCACAGTTGAACAGGACTTTTTTCTTGGTTGGTGGTATCATGTGAGTAAGTTTGAAATTTGATTATTTGAAAATGAAACAAAAATTGGTATATTAATTGACCACACATACTTTTTTTTCCAGTGAATTGCATTAATCACAAATTCTTCTTGTGAGTCGATCTGATTGATGTGCGGGTCGATTTTTTAAATTTTTTTAATAAAAAAAATTTATCAAAATATTAGGGTCCCGTTACGGAACTATTCCGTCGAGGTTTGTAATCGTCGGGAATAGTTGGTCTAACGATTACAAACCCTGACGGAATAGTTATGTAACCGGAGCTTGGCTCCCAAAAAATTTATACTTATTATACAAAAAGTCATACTTTTGTTTGTTTATATTGTTTTTAAAAGTGATATTTCAATTTTAAGGTATACGTATCTGCTAAAAAGTGGTTATATAACACAAATTCTTATATAAGCAAGCGGGTAATATTTTTATGTTAGTTATTTATATTGGAGTAACATTTTTCCTCTAAGCACTTTTTTTTTTTTAATCAAGAAAAATTAAGTATAAAATATCCACTTAACATATCATCGAGTGTCATCCCTCAATCCTATGAATTGTACGCCCTCCTATTTTTAATAAGTGTCGTTTTGAGAAGTTACACAGTTATTAAGAAATTTTTTTTTTTATCAATAATAACTCTGATAATAACCCTGATATAGATGAATGTTTTGAGAAAAGATGAAAAGTGAATATAAAAAGACATATAATGTATTTATTACCTAGATGGAGTAATAATGGAAAAATATGTACAAAATATACAAAACGATATTTATTTTGTTAATAGTTAATAATCTTAAAATGACATTTAAAATAATAGGAGAAGACATAATGTATTTATTATCTAGATGGGGTAATAATGAAAAAATATGTATAAAATATATAAAACGACATTTATTTTGTAAATAGTTAATAATGTTAGAATGACATTTAAAAAAATAGGATGTAGTATATTATATATACTGCTAATATACAAAGTTTAAATGTAATACATATTTTTTTTTCATTTGATGTTTGATTTTTATTTAGGACGACCATGAACATTGAATACATATTGATTATAATTAACAATAATCAAAAGTACTGAAGTACATATCAATTATATTATCTCAAAATTCAACATACATAGAATTCTATGTTAACTAAATAATTTTATTTAATTTTTTCGTTAAAATTAAAAAAGAAAAATCAGTAATTAATTAATTACCTGGGAAATCACACGGTGGCGAAGCAACTCGCCCTCGCCGCCGGCTTCCATTGCCACCGCCCCGTGCGCATGGCCGTGGCCGGCGTGCGTGTGCACCGGAAGCTCCTCGCGATCACCTCCCCCTCCGACGGCCTCCGTCTTCCCCGCCATCCGCCGCCGGTAGTACGACGTGGCGTACGTGTCCACCATCAGCGTCCCGACGGCCGCCAGCATGGCGATGAACCCCGCGAACGGAAAATCTCCCCACGGCCCCCCGCCGTCGGTCAGGTTCGTCGAGGTCAGGCTCTCGAAGGCGTCCGGCAGAACGTGGATGAACCCCGTCGCCAGGATGACGCCGGCGGCGAAGGCCTTCACCACGAAGAACATGCTCCTCTCGGGGCTCAGCGCCGGTACCCGCTTCCCGACAACCGGGAGGAAGACGCCGGCGGCGCCGGCCGCCAGGATGGAGGCGATCGCAACTGCCTTGTACTTGGTGGCGAGGGATTTGTCCCGGTACTCCGGGGCCTCCGGCTCGCACTTGCACTCTCCGGAGGCGACGGCGGGTGCTGGCGGGAGGAGGAGGAGGAGCAGGGCGGCGCAGAGGAGGAGCCGACCGGCCCGACCCACCGGAAAATCAAGATTCTTTATCATGGATTTTTGTGTTTTTCGTCCCCTTTCTTTTTTTTATTATTATTTTTTTATTTTTTATTTTTTATTTTTTGATGGGGATTTCAAAGATTTGATAAGTGATTTTCGGGATGGAAGGTGGCTATTTTATTGGGTTTTGGATCTAATTAATTAATTGTTTTTTTTTAAGTATTACTACGTCAATCATGAAGACATAATGAGGACATTGACATTGACAAACTTAAGTTATGGCACGACTTCAAAATTATATTTTTTCAATCCATATATATCGGAATATTGTATATGTAGGTGTATTTACATTGAGTGAGACTCATCAAAAATGAAAAAATCAAGTAGACCTACTCTATTATCAATGTTATGTATTTTTTATGTACATTTATTGTACTTGTAGCATTTTCCGTTTAAAAAACCCCCTAAAATACATTTATAATTAATATAGTAAGTAACTATGATAGTCTCTTTCATTGGACAACTTTTATGCAGTTACTAATTCATGATTTTGCAGGATATAATGAAAATTTCATTCTCCATTCTACGAGAATTTTAGTGAAAGTCTTTCATTTTTTTGCAAAATATATGAGAAGGGAAAATGAGGCCAATTGCACAATTTACGTGTTAGTAAGTCACACAAGAAATTTATGTTAATCTAATTAGAGTTTGAAAAAATATTGTAGATTTGGAATATTACTTTTTTTTTTTTTTTTTTTT